TTATAATGTCAAATGTTCATGTTTCATAATCCATGATGGATTGTGAAACATGGACATTTGACATTACAGAACATTCTTAATTAAACATGTCAAACAAATTCTTATTTACCTTCAAGCACGATTTACTTTCCAAGCCGTGGACACGAAGCAACCAGCATAATACACGTGGTGGAACGTACAAAAATGTTTTTATTTGACACCAAAATTCATCTACAGAACCAAAGAACTGAATAGATCTGCATTATAATTTAAAGATTTTGATTTCAAAAATACTTGGCAGATAACAAACGTTTTTCTGCCAATTTTTTGCCCATAGTGGAATCGCCGTTTTCTGATACGCCAATATATTTTTTCAAGAAAATTTGACACGCCAATATATTTTTTTCAAAAAAAACTGACAAATTGACACGCCATTTTTAAAAGTATATTTTATTTAAAAATACAACGACGTAGCTATATATATATATATATATGCACTAGTCAATTGACTCCCTTCCCTTCTGGCTCCGGGCTCCCGATAGAAAAATTGTGGATAGAAAAATTGTGGGTAGCAAAATTGGAGACATTGCAAGCACTTGGTATTTCACATACAAAACTCTGTTAAAACCCTGTACATAATGATATGTAGTACATTTCTGGGGGAAGGGATTTCAATTGACTAGTGTATTAGCATTTTAATTTCAATTATTTTTAAACCAAGAATGGTAGTTTCACTTCTTCATGTTGAAGTCTATCAACCACTTTGCTGTTTGTATAAGCAGCAGCACGGCCACCAAGAACTGGACATTTGTGTGACTTTAATTTTTTCTTCTTATCACCCTGAATATATATTTCCGCTATCTCTTCCACTGCTGAATCCAGCCGGATTATATTAGGAAAGCACACCAATCAATTTTGGTCCTACAAAAACAGCGATATACAGTATTTTAAATATTCGCAAATGACTTATATTTAAAAGTACTTCATTTTTTACCAAATGTATTTACAGTATTCCAACACTTTATATTTTCTAACTCACCTGAGTGCAAGCGCTTCATTTGACTGTCCTCCCTGCATTGCTTGTGAAGCCATGCTTGAGTAGAAACTCTCCACTATGGCCTCCGTTCCACCCTTTGCCAATGCAATATCAGTGACAATGCACATTTCCTTTCCTATCAGGTTGTATACCTCACTATTTGTATACAAAGAGTTGTACACCATAGCCTCGTCAAGGATTGTAATGACTGTCTTACTTTCAAATTTCATCTCATACAAATTGCAAAGATGATATGTACTTGGCGGGAAGATTTTGTCAACAGTAGTCATGCTGGTTAAAACGCCCAATTTTTCAGAATCCAGAGAACCAGTAATTTTTCCAGTAGCAGCATTTACAACTGAAAACCATCGGCTCATTACATCTTGAAATTGTTGCAGCCATATAATATCCTTAAGTGCAGTTTTCAAACGGCGATGCACGACATGACTTAGTTTCGGATTGAAAATCAGGCCATCCTCTGACAGACGCTGCACATGAGGCATTTTACAAACATGAGCAAAGAAATTGGAAAATTTTTCCATTCCATATTCTTCTAACTTGGCTTCGTCAATTTTGACATTCCCTGTGGCTGACCTATTGAAACAGAAAATACAATTGGTAAGTGATTACAATTGATGGCGAGCGGTAAACTGGTAATGAGGAAACGGCAGAACACGTTTCAAAGTAAATAACTATGTAAGGATCACTGATATTATTAACAACTACCTTTCTCCGCATAAATGCTCTACAAGGCAGTCGAGATCTAACGATGTCAAATACTCTTGCATCTGTGTAACACTTCGTTCATATCGTGATTCGAGACATTCTGTCAGATCCAAAGCCAATTGTTTGAGGTCTTTTTCGCAATCTTTCTGGTCTCTAACCATCCACTTGTATACAGTTTCTTGGTTTTCATCTTTTCCTGTTCCAACAAGCAGCCAGCCTGGAACCAATTTAACCCCCTTGTATCTTCCTTTGCGGATGTCTTCCATGCAGCCATCAAGATGGCCAAATTGCTTGGCGGGTTTGGTCAAACTTAACGCCGCTACGTTGCTTAACTCACTTATGACCTTCGGAGACCACACACATATTTTCCAAATTGGGACTTGTAAATCTTGCAATCTAATAAGCATCTCAATTGCTGGTCGCATTATGTCTAACACGCCACACATGTCAATAACAAAGTCTTTACCAGCTATTTCATACTCCTTGACTTGGTTATACTTGTTTTCTCTAAACGTCTCGATGTACACAGGCAATGAGGTCATCAACTTCTCAAACTCATTGTATTGAGATGTAAAAAATCGTGTGGAGCAAGTCCTGCTGGTTACAAGGAGTCGCTTACATTTTGACTGGACCGCTTGGCTTTTTGCTAAGGCAAACATTTTACCACGATTAAATATCTGATGAATCCTTGAACTTCGTGATACCAAGCGTGAAAAAAATTCAGACGAATTTCCACTTTTTCCAGAAAGAAGATCATCTGCTGCAAGATGAACTGAGTGTGGTGGGTCCCATATGACTCGATCAAAAACAGGATCTTTCTTTTTCAGCAACTTATTCAGTTTTTTCCCAAACATGTTTGCTTGATATTGCCCATCACACACAGTACCTTGCCATGACTGTGCAAGTGCGTCATCTCCGATGCTATATGTTGAATTGATTGTATCATACACGTTGTCAGCAAGTTTATCTGC